ATAATAATAATAATAATAATAATAATAATAATAATAATAATAAATATTATTATTATTTAGGGAAGAAGAGCCACTGGGCATTTGCCTTGCGTAAGGCCCACTCCTGTTTCTTTGGGGCTAGGAGAGGTTTCCGGGCTGTCAAGCCACAGCCATAAAAACCTCTTTTCCATCATTCTACGCATCCATTTTTTACTCTTTTCAGGCTGGAGAGGTTGGAACTGAATCTTCGGCATTCTGCACATGGAGCAGGAGCTCTTGGGTGGAGACAGAGTCCCTCCTTGGATTTAATAACTGGAAGAAGAGGAACTCTAGCAGTACGTGAATGCTTACAACAGAATCCTATTTGGAAGGGAAAATATGCCTAAAGGACCCCTGGAGCACCTTCTTACCGGGCGAGAAGATGTCTGGGTTGAACCGGATATCAAAGGACGTGCTGCTGATGGAACCAACGGCTTTGCAAGCGTTCTGGATGATCTCTTTGCTTCTGGGGTCCACTGAGCAAAGGGAGAAAGAGGCACGGAAGTGAACAAAGGAAGGGCAAGCAGGACTCGGCTGAAGAAATAAATTGTCGAAAGAAAATAGCAGGGCTCTTTTTCAAAATCTGTAGCACAGCTGTGCTTGGGAGCAGCATGCTTGTAGTGCTGGTGCCCTCTGAAACGGCAGCCTGCTGAAGATGATGGGAACTGTAGTCCCACACATCTGGAGAGGACCAAGATGGGCTGAAGGATTTGATGGAGATGTCAGGGCCCTTTTCTCGCACAAGGCTGAAACTTAGGTGGTCACAAGGAGGAGATACAGGACAAAACGAATCCATTGCACCAGAAAGCTTTGAGAGAGCATTCTGTGAATTCACGGAGGAGGAAGAAGCCTATCAACAGCTCTTACCTGGAGAGATCACTTCTTCCCACACGTACTGACCCTGAAACCATCTCTGGACACCCTTCCCTAGATGCCTGGCCCACCCTGGCTTTGGTTTCAGTTCTGTGCACTTTCTAAATACACCGCATTTTAGGTCTGCTTTGAAAGCTTTGTCAAGTTATGTTCTGTGCTTCTGCTCAGATGTGTACCCAACCTTTTGTGTACTCTTGTTCAACTGTGTACGAGAGCTTTAGTGGTGCAAGCCATGCAGAAAACACCACTACAGGCCAGACCACAGACGCTGCCAATGAATCGCACACCAAATGCACTGAAATATCAGGCCTGACGGAACGTCTACGTTCAGGAGGTAGCTAGCTCCGAAATGCAGGTGGAGACCAAGCGGGAAGGCCAATATCTCCTGCGCTGGGGCTGTAAGTGTCTTGGGAGGGCATGGCTGGCCACGAACTGGAGCAGGAAGCTGGAACACACAGAGTTTGGTCTGACCGAGCAGGGTCCTTCCTATAAATGAGCCTCTCTCGAGCTTTGGGGGACACCAAAGATACCTGCTCCGTTGTCCGATGCGATGGTCTCCGTCAGCTCCTTTACCTGGTCCAGCCCGGCCACATTCTCATCCATTTTGCCGTCTTCCAGAGGAGACTTCTCGCCATCTTCTACCCCGTTCTCGGGAAAGGAGGGGGTGGGGCTGCCTCCATTTTCCAGAGGGGTGTCACCTTCTGACTGGTTGGCCTTCTGCTGCATTAACTGCAGGGCCGCCAACTTCATGAACATGAGATACCTGCCGTGGAGAGGAAAGTCGGGGGAGAAGGTACTAAGAGAAGCAAGCACAAGGGATGCGTGTGGAAGACCACTCATCTTCGCAGGCTCTTTGCAGAGGACTTCAAACAAGGGAAAGATCCCCAAGTCCGCCTCCTAAGATGTGCTTCTTCCCCTTTGGAGGCCCACGTGTAGCTAAATGGCCACCCTGAAGGCTGAAAAAAGATGCCAGGTTGGTGGCACCAAAGCAGCTCTCGGGACCCCTTCTGGAGTGAAAAGTGAGGTATGTGCCTACAGCTTCCTCACGGTCAGAGCAACACGGCAGTGGGACCAGCTGCCTGGAGGGGTGGGGGGCTCTCCCACACTGGAGACATTCAAAAAGAACTTGGACAGCCACCTGAGTGGGATGGTGTAATGTGGTGTCCTGCAACAGCAGGGGGTTGGACTCGATGGCCTTCATGGCCCCTTCCAACTCTTCTATGATTCTATGAATTAAAGAACGCATCTTGGGTAGAGGATGCAAACCCAGCAAGAAACCCGGAAGGATGCGAATCATATTCCAGGGATGGGTGGCCAAGGGACTCCCGGAGGCTCACCTGTGCTCCACGAAGGCATCCACAAGCTCCTGCCGAAGGCAGCACAGCTGGTGCCGGTGCTGCTTGGGGAAGCCCATCTTCCGGCATTCCTCCGGCATCTCCTCCCCGTCCACAGGCAGGAAGTTCAGGTCGGGGGGGAAGGTGCGGAGCAAGTCGAGGATGTAATGCCGCCCGTCGTTGCCGATGATGCCCTTGCACTCCACCGACGAGCACAGCTCCACTTCCTCGTTCTTGTCGTTCAGGACCGTGTGCTTCTGGATCTTCAGGGGCCGGCTGGTTTTCTCCAGCAGCTCCAAGTACTTGGCGTGGGAGACCACCGTCTTGCCAAAGTCTATCGAGCCGTAGATTACGCTCTGCTCCTGCTCGCGCTCCAGGATGCCCGGAATGATGGACTGGGCCGTCACCCGGTACCCTCGGTAGTCCACCACCACGGTGCCCAGAGTGTACAGGCCTTCCACGTCCACTGCGTTGTAGGTCCTGACCCCATTGAGGTCATTGGTCGGGGCCACGTAGGCGGCCACGTCCCCACCGAAGTCCTTGTAGTGGTCCCGGACGTCGAAGCCTAAGCTGAAGAAGATGTTGTTCCAGATGAACATCTGCATCTTGGTCTCCTCACTGGGGTTGATGGCCATCACGTTGCCGTCTATGACCGCCATCGCGCCTCTGGTGGCGGCGGCAGTGAAGTCACTGTGAACCTGGGAAGCGTGAGACAACCTCGGCTGAAGAGGGACTGGGAAGTGGGGCCGTGCTCCTCAGCCTCTAAGCCACGGCGCAGGAGAGCCCATGTTTGGTGCCAGGGAGCAGGGCCAGAAAAGACCTCGGAGAGCTGCTCAGAAGACAGTGAGTGCTGAGCCGGACGGACTAAAGCTTGGACCTGACACCTGGCGTCCTCCAGCTGGGTCCAGCCACAACTCCCAGCAACCTAGGAACTGCAGTCGGATCCAGCTGAAGGACGCCAGGTTGGAGAAGACCTCAGAATGGTGGCTCCATACGCTCCTGTATCTCCAGGAGAAAGCGACCACTCTAGGCCCGTGGCAAACATCTCCTTCCTGGGCAAGGTTCCTGAACGGGTGGTGGCCAACCAGCTCCAGGCACTCTGGGGTGAGACTACTTATTTGAATCCATTTGGGTTTGGCACGGAAACGGTCTTGGTTGTCCTGCGTGCCAGCCTTTGCCGGGAGGCAGCCAACGCTGCTGTTTCTCCTGGATCTCTCAGTCTTAAGTGAGAGCTGCTGGGCAGCACAGAAATTAAACAAACGCAGGACAGGGAACGGCTACCCTCAGCTTAATTCCTTGCACATGCGCACACTCAGTGCTGTGACCTGTGCCCACGTTGGGCTCTGGCCAGCAGCCACTGGTGCCTCAAGGGACTTTTCCTGCGGATCCCGCTCTACACAGGAAAGCGCCGTGCAAGGGTGGACAGAGGAACCGACTGCTATGCCCTCCGAGACCCACCGTGCTGCAAGTTACCTTTGCTGTCGGCCACAAGCAGGATTCCAGCACCTGAATTTAGGTACCACGAATTATCCCTGGGAAAATGCATTGGCCGTTTTCTCTTGGCAGAAGTTACCTTAAAGATAGCTCGTTCCCTTAGCAGTCTCTCCGGCAGGTTTTTGCGTGGCAGTTCTCTGGTAGTTTGCAATTCTTCATTCCAATCCCTCGTCTGAAAGGAGAAAGGGATGACGGAAAGGAATTTATATACACAGAACAAAAACATGCACACAGAATCCTAGTCTGCAGGGTGAGGGAAGGGGGTGGGGGGGGGAGAGAGAGAGAGTTCTTGCAGAATTCTCTTCCACTTGCCTGGCTTTAGTGCAAAGAGGATGTTTTGTTTAAAACCACCGTTTTCTGTTACATCCGAATTAAGGAACGGTGGCTTATTCTCTTACTCATCAGGAAATGGAGCAAGCCTCACATGGCTAAGTTAGTAAGCATGGATTCAGCCACAGTTTCCTGACCCAGATGAAAAAGGAAACTGTGGCTTAACCAAGCCATGATCTCCGCCCTGAACTGAGCATGGGAGGGAAAGGAAGCAAATGACTCACTCTGGGCTGCTTGCCCCTGATGAGCCCAGGACCAGAGACCATCTGGAGTGGTCCTTCTGTCCTTCAAATGCACCACAGTTGGTGAAATTGTGTTTCAGTTTCAGAGTATTCTGTCTGAACCAGGGGCAGGAGACCTACGGCCAGGAAACTAACAAAGCAGACGGAGCCAGTGGAAAGCGCTTGACTATCCAGGGAGCCCTGGGCAAGAGGATGAACTGGGAGTCCAGACAACCTGGATTTAGGTTGAAAGTCTGCAACTCTGCAGGCTGGAGTCCGCCTGGTTGCCCTTATATCGCTCCATTTGGGAAGAAATGAATGTAGCAGAAATACTGCTTCTTCAGCACTGGCAGCTTCTTGAGTCAGGTTCGAAACAGTGCTCCCCGTGTTATCAACACCGACTCTGTCCCCATGAGGGCTAGAAGATTGCTGCTTAAAGTAAGTGCTAGTGCCGAAGTGGCAACATTCAGGATGGAACCCAGAACAAAGCACCCTCAAGTCCAAGCCCTACCTGTCCCGGGATGTGCTCTTCATAGCCCAGCCTTGAGGTATACGCGTCTTCGGCTCTCACGCAGTCCATGGCATGTTCGGCTAGCGGTGCTGTCCACGTGTACACTTGGAAGGGGGTGTATATTCGCTCTAGCGGGTGCCTCTGGACACTGGTTGGAGTCACACCACATGCAGCAATTGTTATACTACTGCCTTCTGGAAGGCCCTGGGTGTTTGCAGCCTTGTGAGCAACCCACAAATGCATGAGATGGATCAAACTGGAATGAGAGGCCTTGAGGGCAAAGGTGTCTGTTGCTACATTGTCCAAGACCTTTAAACTAAATTGTGTTCCCACGCCTGCCGCTTTTCAGAATAAATTCTCTTTGCGGCTATTACTAAATTGTTTGCTTTTAAAAAACTGTGCTCGTTTGGGCAGCGAGTCACTCTGAGAAGCTGTTAGATGGGAGAGGCATCTCTCATCATCTCACAAAGCACAAATCAACAGCTTTGTTTTAAATGTACCTCCTCACCTGCAGACAGGTGTGAGAGCACAGCATTAGGTCAGGCAACAAGAATCTCTGCTCCCTTCGGGGAATAATCGCAGCTAGTAGAAAATCACCCTATTTCACATGCAGATCAAATCCCCAGTGCCTTTCACTGCTCTTTCTTTATTTTGCCACACACAGTTTTGAGCTGAACATAAAGGACTAGTAACTTGAAGGGTACTTTTTGTTTTTTAAAGCTGCTGAAGAACAGGATGCGAAGAAAAGCAATGAAGGCAAAATCTAGAAATGCGTACCGGGGGAAGAAAAAACACAGAGAAAAGCACGTTACCGTTTCTTCTGCAGCGAGGCAAAGTTTCTTTTGAAGGAAGGGCTGATTTGGTTGAGGAGCTCCACCAAGGAATGACTGAGGAAGCTGGGGCTGGCAGGCTTGGGGTTGAAGTTGTACGCAGTGGACCTGCCGAGGACAAGCAGCCAAAAGCTTTACTCATGTGTGGGCCACAGCCTGAGCTAGCCCCGGGCAGCAATTCTGCGGATCAGAGGTACTAAGTTTCCATTTATCGGCAATAGGAAAAGTCGTGGAGTGCTGCAGATTTTCAGAATGCCCCCACCCCTCCGTGCTGTTCCCGTTTCTCCCCACCCGTCTCCCACTTGTCAGCCTTCCACGGCCACGAAGCAAGTGCCACAACCACAAGGATCTTCTTCTTAGGATGTGGGGGCATCCAATCCACAAGCCGAAGGATGCCTCTCTTTAGAAGGGATGCAGCTTGGCTGCCTGGTCATTCAGTTCACAGTGGTGCTGCCAGGAGGACAACTGTCCTGGTCATCAGATGGGGACTGGCTTTGTTGCTCCCCCCCTTTAGGCAAAGGACATGGGGCGAACAGAGCACCTAGCACTGAATGGGAGGAAACTGAGGAAAGGCCACAGCTTTCCAGAATAACAGGATGACCAGACTCACAAGAAGTGCCTTCTCCCCTATGTGTCCTCCTGCCCCTTGAGATCCATGTCAGAGGCCCTCCTCCGGGAGCCGTCCTTGAAAGAGATCAAGAGGGTGACTCCGCAGCAGGAGGGCCTTCTCTGTGGGGGCACCCCGATTGTGGAACACGCTCCCCAGAGAAGTTCGCCTGGCGCCAACACTTCTTTCCTCTTGGTGTCAGGTGAAAACCTTTTTATTCTCCCAATACTTTGACTTTTAACCTGCTTTATTTAGTGGTTTTATTTTAACATCAGACGCTGTGCAACATTTTTATTTTATCGTATTAATTCCTTGTAAACCGCCCCAAGACACCTGTGATGGGACAGTATAGACAAATTTTCCATAAATAAATAGAGCAAGCAAACGACAAACGGAAGGCCAGATCATGCAAGAGGCTTTGCTGGAAAGAGTCCTGCGAGCACACAGGGGAGTAAACTCCGGCACGAGAGGCTGTGGGACAGACCGCCGTTTCGCCACTTACTGATTCAGGTAAAAGCCTCGGGTGGACGCAGTGATGCTCACGTGCCGGTCCTCCATCGTGATGACGTACAGGTACATGAGGTCGCCGTGCATCTTGCGGTTGCCGGGCGGGGGGTTCCAGCCGCTCATGGTCAGCACTTTCAGGCACTGCAGAGGCTTTCGGGGGAGAGATGGAGAGGAGCACAGAAGACACAGGGTTCACGTCTCTACGAGAGGAACGCTGCTTTACTCCACGCAGGTAACGTTGGTTTGTGGCCGCTCCCGAGAACCTGGGAGCAGGATCTCCCCTGCTTCTGAGACACCTTTTCTTAAGTGGCCAGTGTGGGGGAGGAAAGAGGCGGCTGGGCTTGGGTGAGCTTGAAGGTCAGGAAGATTTGGACGCTTTGGATGGGGAGGAGGCACCCTGGGGAACTAGGCCTCCAGATATCAAGATGGGAGAAGCAGAGGGGCTCACTGCAAGGCCGTGTGTTCCGGTGGACTCTGGGAATAGCCAGGAGGTGGTGTGATGCAGGAGGCGGCCAGACCTGGTACAGCTCTTGACCCTGCGCGGCAGCCTCAGGAAAGGACGAGCCCACGCGAGGGGAAGCAGGCAGAGAGGAGGCCTGCCTGCTTCCAAAAGGGGTTGGAAGTTGTGCAAGAGCAGGGTTCTCGGAAGTATTTGCTGGACTGGGTTCCAGAAACTGCTCTGTGCGTGCTCAGAGGCTCAATGCGTGGTGGCTGGGAATTACAAGAGCGGCAATTCGACGCACGTGGAAGGCAGCAAGCTGGCGGAGGCGGAACGGCTGGTCCCTGGAGCATCCCTCTGCTCAATGTGCTAAGCTTGCGTGCTGGCCTTAGCACATCCCGCATGAAAGGGAGACAGGATACAGCGGAGTGCATTTAAAAAGCAAACACTGGAGTGCTTTCTGACTTTTTGCCTGGTGATGGGGCAGCAACAGGGCCACCAGGTTCACCAACGCTAGTCAAAGAGATCTGCTAGGAACTGGTGGGAGGACGCAGCCCTGCCTTTGGGCCAATGCTGGACTGGACAGGAGAAATCCAACCCCCCGGCAATTATGCAATGGTACCTTCCAATCTCTGTTCTGAGGCTGAAGGGGGCAAAGGGGCCTTTCTTTGCTTCCGGGCAAGATATGTTCAGGAGGGGTGCAGTCGATTTGCTCCATTTCTGTACCTTTCTTTTTCCGCTTGCCACTGTCTGGAAGACAGAACATAGGGGGGCAGAAAAGCAATCAGAAGCACCAACAGGTGGGCCAGTCTGGGGTGTGTGTGTGTGTGTGTAAAATGAATTCATCACCTTCTCAGCAGCCTATCTGCACCTTAGGTTGTAAGGGCAATGAAGACTAGAAGCTTGCTTTGGAAAAAAGCAAAAACAAGCAACTCTCTTCATTCTCTGGGAGCTCAGTGCTGCCCAGCGTCTCACACTTAGCTCTAAACCCACATCGGGGCATTGCCACTCTGTCTCGCTCACATGCCAGGAGGCGCTTCCGTACAAATCAAAGATCTCTTCTGCAGAGAACGCTCCTGCGCCAGGGAAATCTCACTCAACCCTCGGTCTGGCATGCTACCTTTACACATGGCTTTTGCACAGAGGTCCCAAAAGCCGTTTGAAGCGGCACAGCTCCAGCGTGCGCTTACAGCAGGCAAACGAGAGGCCCTCCACATCTTACTTCCAGCACCTCAAGGTCATCCAAGATTAGAAAGCTGAACACTGCAATATGGCAACCTAGACCAAACCATCGGCATGCAAATTTATACACATCCCCAGTGGAAGCAGAAGACTGGGCTGCTTTTCCCACTGCTTACCTCCAAGGTCTCCTTCCGTAAAGACAGTGAGAAATGACAGCGAGTTGCAGTCAACGCCATTGAAAGCATCTGAGGGGTCAAGACTCTTCAAAAGATCTCGGATGTGACGGACATGTATCCTGGCTTCCCGGACTGTGTATGGTTCTGGGAATATTTGGGTGGGGGAGGTGGGCAGTGGAGAGGAAGGAAGAGCATCATGTCAGACCTTGTCCAGATATCTGTGTCCAGTTAGGGATGCCACGCAAGAGGAACGTGGACAAATTGGAGCAGGTTTGCCAGAGGGCAAGGAAGAAGTTAGGGAATTGGGGAGAGGGGAGTCTCGCCAGGAAAGGTTGGAGGACAGGGGATCCTCGGGTTAAGGACTCCCAGAGCGAAGCGGAGACAAGGCAGCCTTTTCCAAAGACTGTCAGGCAATCTTGGCGGCTTCGAGAGCTCCATTTTAGCATCACAACAACAACCCAGCATTCAAGCAGCATTTTAAATGTTAATATTATTGAATTTTTCTGGCCAGGGCGGCTTATTTTATATTGTATATTTGTAATTTATTTTAATGTATATATTTTAAAATGTTATTTAACTTATTTGTTGTAAGCCGCCCCGAGGCTTTGGTGAATGGGGCGGCATAAAAATGTTTTAATAAATAAAGAAATAAATAAATAAAGCTCTCACCTCTACAGCACCCTGGGCTCTCAGAATGGAACTTGGCCCTTGAGAGAGACTCAAGCGGCTGTTGTAAGCCCGTGGGTATTCGCTTGTGAAGAGCCTTATCTAATATTTTACCTGCCCCTCGAACAGGAGTTTGAAAGTGTTACCTTCGATGACTTTTAACACGGAATCTTCTTGCAAGCCTTCGATGGTCTTCAACTCTGCAAAGTTATCCAGCACGTTGCCCTCAAATTGCAGGGAGAAGCAGGTGCGGTGGCAGGTGTCTTCACGGTCCATCAAAACCTGGTGGATCTCCTGGACCATCTCTTGGGGGGAAACCTTGTCGCAGCAGGTGGTGGGAGGAGGAGGAAGCAGAGAGGGTGTTCAAAGACAGGCTGGACATGCACATGGTGGGCATGTCGTGAGCGGAGCTGGCTGGAGCCGGGGGTCAGGCTAGATCGCCTGGGAGGCCCCTTCTGACTCGGTCTGTTTCTCTGTTTCTAAGACAACTTATACCCTGCTTTCTTTTATAAACTAAATCCCAGGGGTTCAAACCACAAAGCTCCTAAGACGGAAACCAAACCGAACCACTAAAATCGAGGGCATGCAATGAAAAATCCACCAGCCAAGGGAAACCCATGCAAGAATAAGGAGTCAGGTGACGAAAATCTCAACCCCAGTCAAACGTTTTTGAAACAAGAGCTCATCTCCTGACATCTTAAAGTCTAACGATTCCTCTTTGGCCACACCAGCAGATCATGTCAGGGCCAGTGCAGGAAATGAACTGATACAGCCACAGTTTGGGGGGCGGTAGTGATCTCCGATGCAAACCCTTACAACGCCTGTCCCAGTAAGATGCACAAGCAGGTAGAGTGGGGTAAAAGTGCCTTTGTCCACAATCTGTTTCCCCAAATTTTGCACTGAGAATGTGGCATGGCCCTCTCTGGACTGTACCACTCCATAATGCAAGTAGGTGTAGTATTTGGGGATAGGAGACTTTTGCCTAAACCAAACAGTGCTGAGTTCTGTTCCCAGGATGTAATTTTCTAGAAAATGCTGCAGTTTCCATTTTTGGATCCTATCCTGTGTCTGTCTTGCTCATGATGGGCAGCCGCTCGTGGCTAAACAACTTTTTATTATATTCTACATAAGACTCTGTAGTTATTTATTTATTTATTAAAAACTTTTGTATGCCGTCCTTTATATAAATAAGGACGGCATACAACAATTTAAAAAACAATGTAAAGCATCTAATAACATCCCATAACAGATTAAAACAGTAATACTATGTGAGACAATAAGTAAACATCAAATAAATCGGACTGAATCAAAATAAAACAAAGCAAAAGCGACTGGAAGAAGCATTAAAACTATTAACTTTTAAAATACCGCTTAAATAAAAAGGTTTGAAGGGGATGGAGAAAAGTTTCACAGGGAAAGCTGAGCTGCACATAAGATAAAGAACTCCATTTCTCTTCAAATGCTGCTTGTGCTCAATTCCAAATTAGGTTTAGATTGGCAAACATTCCTTTTTCGCATCAGCTTGGTGCAAGCCATCACGGATCCAGGGAGTGTATCCAGACCTGGCTGGACAGACTTTGTCTAGCCCAAGCAAGTCAGTTACTTCCTAGCTGGAATTCTGGCATCGGTTAGGAAAGCTTTACCGCTTTGTCTGTGCACTGGTCTCTTCTCTGCAAAAATGGATGGGTACAGAAAATCGACTGAGTGGGCCCAGCAGTTTAAGGAAATGGAGCACATCAGCATTATTATTCTGGGACTGTCCTTGGAGGAGAAGCAACAGCTTCCACTTTCAGAACCTTGGCCAATCTGGGCTCACACGATTTGGCAGGCAGACTTGAAGTCCCTCTAGTTGGGTCTGGAAAACAAGGGGACCTGAGATAGAGACCAGAACGGCATGTTAGAGACACTCACCTGCAGAGAAAAAGGTTCCACGGCCGGTGCGTGAATTCTGACTGTGAAGCCAGTGTCCTGAATAACAATAACCTCCTGGTCGTTTGCATCTTCTGTGTGGTCAGTTTCTTTCTGGTCATCCTGCCTTGTCTCATCTTTGTGGTTCTCGTGCAAACCATCTCCATTCATCAGGGCTATTCTGGGCGGTTCTTCCTCTGGCAATGAGAGAGAGAGAGAGAGAGAGAAAGATTTTTAGACTTGCAAGTGCATTGGGATTAATAGCTCCTTGTGGCGTGAGCGTTCCAGGAAGAAAGTCACCGAATGCCCTAAACTTAACAGGGTCACATTTGCAAAACTTTGTTTTCAATAGCTAAACACGTTTGAACAGAAAAACTTGGCAAAAGGACTCAACAACACACACAGTGAGATCTTATACAAATCTATCTACACTGAAATCAAATCGCAGGTAACCTTGCATGGCACTACAAGGACCAAATTCCGATTTAGGAAAGGTCTCAGGGCACCTATTCGAATTGTGGATGGAACCAAAGGCAGAATATGCATGGCCAAAACAAGATTTTAACTCTACTCAGAAGCAAACAGCACCAAGGCAAGTGGGACTGAGTAATCTCTCCACATCCATTCTGGTGATTGAAACCTGTGCTTGCGGCCTCATATGGTAACTTACCTGGGGTTATGCCCCATCTGAGCTCAGTAGGGCTTCCTTCTGAGTAAGTATGTAAGTTTAGCAAATTAAGCTACACAATCGTACAGTTTGGAAAACTAAGGTGCTGCCCATGCATGGTTAGAAAGAAAAAGCTCTTCCAACTCCAAGTGATAAACGATGCATTTTTTGTTGTGAAAAGCAGTCAAATAAGTTTAGATTTGAAAAGGAAAAGTATTGTATATTTTAGCCTTTTATCAGCTCACCCAAACGGAGGTCCACAAATTGGAGCCAGGGCTAAGCCTTGGACTAGAGAGGGCAGATAAGCGTTTAGGGCCAAGGAGCAAGACAGGAAGAATGTGTTTCCTGCCTCGGCAGTGAGCTCAGTGTCCTTCCACACCAGCCTTCTAGAGGCTGGCTGGGGATGCTGGGAATCGCAATGCAAGAGGCCAAGGAAGGCGGCGCCACGCTTCCCCCACCCCACAGTTCATTCTCAGCTTTCTTGCTCTAGGGAACCAGTTCTGCCGGGCTCGTCTGATGATGCATGTTGCTGGCCTTTCTTCTCTCTTCAGGTTTGGTGTTTACTAAGAACTGGCTCCACCTTATCTGCCTTCTCCCTTGTCCAAAGGAACAACGCCCTTTTCTTTGTCTGGGAGTTCAGCATCTTGCAGAGGTGGGAGACAAGCCAGAGGAGAAAGAAAAGCCACGGAATGTGTGCATGTCGAGGGGCAGAGGGAAAATGAGAAGAGCTCCTGTAGTCCAAGTGGGGAGACTCCTCTTTAATTACGACGACCACAGTGAGGGTGTGGACACCCCTGTGGGGCCTGCAGGCAGCTGTAACCGGTACTTCCAAGATCTGTGGGTTGCTCCAACCGCACTCACGTGACCTCGCCAGGCATGCTACATGCATGGACCTTTGGGATGTAAGAGAGACTTACCAACACCTTGGCCAGGAAGCAGTTCTGGGCCAGGCACCGTTCACACGTACAATACCAGGTCATTGCCAGGATAACATATGAACAGCGCTTTGGGGGACATGGGAATAAATACGAGAGAGAACAGAAAGGTAGGGCATCTACCAAGCACCTCCTCCTCATGCTGGCTGTAAAAATGCAGAGTGGAATACTTAGGGGGTGAAAAGACATTCCTTTCCCATGCTTGGGAAAGTCACGCAACTTATGAAAAAATGGCTGGATATATTTTGGTTTTGCTGGTCACAAGCCCTGTTGCTGCTTTGCCTTATCTGTGACCAGTGTTAAGGCTGATTCAGCATCCCTCTAGCGATTCTGATTCACACACTAAGGACTAGCAGCTTGTTCTGGATTACAACAGCAACAACAGAACAGGAGGCCGGTTTTACTACCGAATTCTGCATTGACAAAGTGCTTGTGAGAAACACAGCTAGCTAATCTCATACCATGCATGGCCCTAGCCTGGTTCAAGGCAGATTCATAGAAGAACCTGGTCACCTGCAGTGAGAAGCCATAGTTAGACTACCGCAAAGCACTTGGAAACAGGGCTGCCCTTGAAGATGGTCTGGAAACGACAGCTAGCAGAGTACATGGAGAGCTGCAATTAAAACACACAGAACACCGCCTGGGTTTCAAAACAGCGTCAACATTCCCCATTCCCTTTCTAGGCTTAAATTTAAAACTTTTAAGGCCCTTGAAGAAATTAGGACTAGGATACCTCAAGAACCACCTTCCTGGCACAAGGTTGTTCTGCATCACTGACGGCAAACGAGCCACGTCATGTGCTAGTTATTTGCATTTCTGGCACTCTTGATTAGCTTCAGCGCCAAGTGAAGTTTCCCATGCCAAGAGAAGATTTTGCATCGGATGGATGGGTTTTACCTATTTTTTAAAAAATCACTTTAATTTTTAAAAATACAGTCTGTGTGTGTTCAAAAAGCATTTTTGGAAAAGTGGTATATAAATGCTTCTGAAAAATAGATATGTGCTTCTTTCCTAGCCTGGATCTTAATAACATTATGAAACTTTACATGTTAATATGATTGAATTTTTCTGGCCAGGGTGGCTTATTTTATATTGTATATTTGTAATTTATTTTAATGTATATATTTTAAAATGTTATTTAACTTATTTGTTGTAAGCCGCCCCGAGGCTTCGGCGAATGGGGCGGCATAAAAATGTTTTAATAAACAAATAAATAAATAAATAAAACTTGCCCCAAACACATGCTTTTGGCACCATTTCCCCCGAATCATTTTTGCTCGTCTAACCCATCTGTAAAATGGGCATCATGGGACATCTTCTCTACTTTGCCTCCACAAGAAAGAAAAGAAGGGGCAGGGATTTATGTGGGTAAAAAGGCACGCAGTATTTCTTAGGTTAATACCAGCCATCGTAGGTTGTCATCCTATGCACGCTAAGAGAGAAATGCTGGATTTTGCACGTTTTTTCTGTCTACGCATACATAGAATTACACCCTTCATCCAAGACCCGGACAGCTCAGCAACCTCCTACTTGCAAAAATGAGCAAACACTGTCAAAGCGAAATTGCAATACATCAAGATCAAAAGGCAAGGAAAAGGAGGCGGCCGCCACCTCTGCCCTACACATCTGGGAAGGGTGGGGAAGGAATCAGCCCGGCTAATTGCTTCTTTTCAAGAGACCTCTAGCCGAAAGTGCGCACACGCCAAAAACCTTTCCCTTGCTCATTCTTGGATCACCTTGCTTGGTTAAGAGTTTCAGAGATTGAGCAACTCAGCACGGGGGTGTTGCGAGATGGGGGCTAAAATATTTGGAATACACTCTGTTCAAAATAAGGTAGATTTGCTCTCCTTTCTTCTGTGTCTGACCTACTCTGAGCCCTTGGCAAGGCCAAGGACAGAAATAGGTTCAGGCAGAACACGGGCGTGGATGCAAGTACAAGAATCTGCCCCCTTGTCAGTCAGCCGCATGGTCCACCTAGCTCAGTGGGGTCTCCTCGGACGAGGGGTCCAAGCAGGGAAGGGTCTTCCCCACACCTTCGGCCGAGGAGGGAATCTGGGGCTTCCTTTGTGCAATGCGTGTTTTTCTGGGCACAACCCCGCACGTACGCCCCCCAGAATCTCTCCTCTGCCACGCCTGCTAAGCAGATGGCGCCGCAGGTCTGTGGCCCAAGCGGATGGTGGTGTGTGCGTGTCGGGGGAAGAACTGCATGCTTCCCCATTTTTAAAATCCAATCGCAGTTGCACGGGGCTGTTCTGCCTTGGCACAGCCATCTGGACCAGCAACTGATCCGGAGACGGAATGAGGTTGCCTTCACACATTACTCCACAGTCGCTGGCATCCTGCTGCCCAAATGCCACGATTCAGACATGGCAAGTGGGAAGTTTTGCTGTGCTTCCAGGAAAGCCAGCCAGGCTTAGTATCTATCAGATCTCCCTGATCTACCCCTGAGAAACCTGCTCAAGAGATAAAACATCTTGGAGAACTGTTGGGGTTTATATTTTTGGACTTGGGGCTGCCACTGGGAATTGCCAGGATGCAAATGCGCAGGCAGCAGCCAAAAGAGTAGACGCCTCTTTCTAAGAATGGGTGTTCAGGAGAGGCCTCCCTGATGGGATGATTTGCTGTTTAACAGATGACACGACAATGTGTCACCCACGCCAGCCTGGTGGCTTTCGGGAGAAAGAGACGAGAACGGCAGTCGATGCCCGGACCGCTGCCTTGTACCTGAGGACATGAAATGCTTGGATTAAGTGCAGTCAGCTACATCACGGCTGCTTGCCCTGGAGCAGACCACAACACAACGCCCCACACTCCTGCCCACTGGCCGTGTCTGCCTGGAAGGATGAGAGGCACACCTCAACCCAAGTGGGGGCTCCAGGTTGTCAATCTCTACGCAACCCTTCCAGAAATCCACCCCCATGGCTTTCTCTGCTGCAGCGACTCTCTGGAGAGTCCGGCCTTCAAGCCAAGTACAGCGGCGCCTCATACTTCGAACAAAATTTGCTTCGGGAGGCTCTTTGAATCGTTTGAAGTCTGAAGCAACATTCCCCCGATAGAAATAACAGCAACAGCTAAGTGAACAGCATCCCATCCCGGGCTGGGAAAACCATCTTCCCCAGCTTCATAGTCAAGCACACACAACACTGCTTGTCCGCAGGTCAGTTTTCCTATACTGGGGGAGGCAGAAGCAGGACAGAAAGTCCAAGTCCCCGCTGTGTTTCCGTGCTGAGTGTGGGGGGGGGGACCCAAGAGGGGGATCCGCTTCCCCCCTGCCCAGTTTTCTGGCATGCTGAGGTCCCCTGGGTGCGAGAGCCACCCCTCGGGGAGATGACGGGGTGGCCACCAGGCGAAGGGCCTTTTCCGCTACTGCTCCCCATCTCTGGAACGCCCTCCCTCGGGAAATTCGCCTGGTGCCATCTCTATTTTCCTTTCAGTGCCAGGTGAAGACCTATCTTTTTAGGATTTTTAAAAAACATTTAGCCTGCATGCCGTGGCCCTTTTTAACTACTTTTAAAAACATGTAATTCATTATGTTTACTTGGTTTTAATGTGTTTTACTCTGTTGATATGCTTTATGCATTGTAAGCCACCTAGGAAGGCCTCGGCAATTCTAGGCAGTATAAATACATGTAAATAAATAAATATCTTTTTATTATTGATATTATTTGTGGTATTCTGTATTGCATTATGTCTCATATTATTGTATTAAGGTTTGTTTGATTCTGTATCGCTTACAATTAATATTGTATTGCTTCATCGTATCGCTTTAATGTATTATATCTTTGTGGAATATGCACTTATTTCTGGTTCTATTGTGAGCCTCCCAGAGAGCCCTATAGCTATGGGGCAGCATACATATGTGATAAATGAAAGGGCCGCTCCTCACAAGCAATCCACCCCACACTGGCACACGCAAGTGCATGCACACAGGTGTGGCTGTCTCCCAGGAACTCTGGATACCCAGCGAGAGATTCTTTGTGGTTTCGGCTTGAGGTTTTCCAGCCCCAGGGTCGGCTGCTAAAGCAGATGCTCCACCCCTGAGCTGTCTCCCCTCCCTCAGAGTGAAATGACACCGACAAGGTACAGGCTCCAACCACCGTCCCTTGTTATTTGATCACTGCTTTTTACCCCGTTCAGCACCAACAGGGGCTCTTCCGTCCTTTGCAACCATAAAAGGTACTCCAAGCAGTTGGACTTGCCGTGTCGCCAAGGCCATTAAACATTAACCCGTATTGCCCGAAAGTGCACAAGGGAGACCAACGTATTGGAGCATAAGCACCCATGAAGTCCAGGTTAAAATATAGCTGGGAAACGTGAGGATTTTATGCGTGCCTTTTAAGAAGGAGATACACACAGCACACAAGTCGATCCAGAATACAGCTATCTTTGCTTTTCCACAGGGCAACGGCACAGCAGACCTTTAGTCTTGGATCTCCAGCCGCCTGAACAGGACACCCCGGGCTTCGCTGCAAAGAACCAGGGCAGTTTTCCTGCTAATGACTGACCTGAACCCTGGAAGCTGTCTGAATCGGTCGGTCGGTTTGTCCACCCTTTGCTCTGGCCGGCAGCAGCTTCCTGATTCCCTAACCAACAACCGTTTTAGCATTGAACATTGGACCTTCCTGTGCACCACCCACAGAGCCTGGGGGGTGGGGGAGAGGAAGACCGGTCACACGCGCCTAAAGGCACCGCTGATGAGCAAGCTTTCCCCCACGCTGTGCCCGGCAGCTGTGCTAACCTGCAGGCCTGCACATCTGGAAAGCTGCAGGCTGCCAAGGACGGACTGAGGCCCTTGGCTCCCGCTGCAAACGTGAGGGGCCTTGTTTGCCGCCAAGATGCCAAGAGCAACTGGGCCGGTGGCCACGGAAGGCTCTCGATTCCGATTTTGTCAGGAAAAGTGGGCAATTCTCCCCCGCCCCATTTCCACCCCTTCCCTGTTTCTGTTTTGCACACACTGCCAGGTGGCAGGAGTTTGGTTTCTCGTTCCCGAACGAGCACAGCGGCATAGCTGGCAGCAAAGATGCGCCAGCGAGCACGTGGGGTTTGTGCCGACATGTGGCAGCATCGGGCGCTCCTGTCCTGGGCGCCTTCCCAGCCCTCTCCCAGCACACTCCATTCCTGCCAGCTACCCATTCGCCATTCCACCCCGTACACCAACACTCAGGATTCGGCCACTCCTGTTCAGATGAGCGAGAGCCCTTTCCTGGGATCCAAAAGGCTTCCTCCCTGCCTCAGTATGGCCCAACCCATATTTCCATGGCACTCTTAGCTTCTCTGGGGCATCTTTCTTCTGGCTGAAATGACTCACCCACTCTAACCATGCTTTCCCCTTACGCCTGGAACCCCCTTCCAGAATGTTTAACACCACGATGACGGCAACAGAAAACAGGGCCCGAAACAAAACTCCAGTATAAGTACGATTCTGATCTGTGTTGAATCTCTTCCCACCAGTGGGAAAGCCCGATTTTGTTTGTGCCCCAGCCAGAGAACATCGCTGCTCAGGTACAGCTGGTGGAAGCCACAGGAAAAGATGCGAATTCATGACTTCCCCACATGTGGCTGCAAGAGGAAGACCAGGAGATGTTCAAAGAGGTGCCCGTCAACACTGCAGAAAACAATGCATCTGTCTATGGTTCCTACGGGACCTTTCAGTGCAGCCCTAGAATGCATTTCCCTGTGGCTTTTTACAAAGATTCTACAAATGAAGATGACAGACTGGGAGAGCAGAGAATACATAACCCGGGAATGGGGCTTTGAATCACGACAAATGCCCAGGTACCACCGATCAGACCAGTTTTGCAGCTGAGAAACAGGGTACATTTAAGGTTTTGCACAGCGCAAATGTGGATGACTGAGATGCCCAATTCAGCATCCTGACTGGCCGTAGAGACCTCTGGGATAGATGCTTTCTTCCTCCTCTTTAGCTTGGGTTGCGGACCCGCTTGCCACTCAGGGACCATCTTGGGCTAATGTTAGCCTGCAGCGACCTGGCCCCCCTTTCCAGAACAACTGATGGCTTGCCCGACAGAAGACCGCTGCCAGCGAGTCCAGACCCACAAAAGCAGAACTGCCCCGACCTCTGCAAACGACCACCCCAGAATCCACTCCTGCAGGCAGAGAAGCCAGGCGCCTCACCTGTCCCCGAGGGTCCTCGGCAGGGCCGTGCGCCGGGGGACGGCTCCCCGGGACCAGCATCTTCCCCATCGCCTGGTCCCACATTTGCTTGCTGCGCGCTTGGCTGGAAGCCTGGGCCGAGACCCCCGGGCACCTCCCCAGCCTGGAGGGCTGGATGTGACCAAGAATAGCCTGGAGGCCGTGTTGATTCTTCCTCAAGGTCGGAAGGAAGGACAGGCGGAACGCAAAATCCCAATCCCCACTGCAGCAGGCCGGCAGCTGAGTGCTCCTGGCAGCTATCCTGGGCCTTGGCTGGCGAGGAATCAGTGGCCCCCCCAAATAAATCGCTGTGCACCTCTTCCTCTGTTGGCAGGCATGCCTGGGGCAGAGAGTCAAGGACCGCATCCAGGCACGGTATGGAGCACTCGGGGGCACCCAGCGTCCTCCGCATTTGGGGAGCGTTCCTCTGAGCCATAGCAGGCGCTGCTGACAGGAGGGGCAACCGCTCATCCAGCAGATCCTCCCGGCGACCCTGAAAGATCAGGCTGGCGATGCTTCGGCAGCAAGTGGCAAGGAGGTTGTTCCCCATCGACTTCCAAATAAAAGGGTTGCACCGAACCCCCCCTCAGAGCCCCCCTACGAACAAAGAGACGCTCTCAAAATATCCATGATCTGGATGCTCAAGGAGTTTGGGCTTTTGTCAGCATCCCACAGTTCCTCTACCGACCTTAAGGGAAGGAGTGTGGAGAAGTCAGCTGGATGAAAAGCAAAGCATGCAAGGGCGACTCTTCTCTTTGGCAAAAGAAGAACAGCCAACATCCAACGGACTTTGCATTCCCACGGTGCGGAATTCCGGTGGCTCGCTCCAGCTCCCCCAAAGGCAGATCGTAAAGAGCTGCCTGGCTGTGTGAGGTGGGAAAATACTGCCACAAACCCTCTCTCTGCTGTTGCCCTGGAGAACGAAGCCCCAGCAAAGGGGTGCACCTTCTTTCCAGCTGGAATTCTACAAGAGACCGGAGCTAGCAGTGCTCGGGGTGGCTTCAAAGCCAGTTATAAATAGCCTGGCTCATCCTGCACCAATGCAGAATGGCCCGAGCTGAAGGGTTTCGTGCCTGCCAACCCCGTAAACAAATGGGGGTGGGTCGAATGACAAGTCCCAAGGTGCACTTAAACTTCCAAACAGCCCTCCATACGAAACAGACCTTGAGAAAGGGAATTACGGAGAGGAAAAAAGTCGGTTGCAGGCTTCGTTCTCACTGAAGCAATCAAACTGTGCTCAAGCGCCACTGCAGAATGGAATCCCCCCGCAGACAGATGCTAAGAGTAATTCCCCACAGCAGCTTTTCCCACAGACCAGATACCCCAAAATGCCACCCTAAAAAGAAGAACATGTTTAGGAATTTCCCTAACCTTCCTTGGAAAGAGGAACTGGTTTTCTCTACCAATCTTTAGCTCTTCCTGCTTCTTAAGGCTTCTAGGATGCTCCAGGTGTTTTGGGAACTATTTATGAAAGTTGTCTGATCTGACATAAGCTAGGAACGGAAAATGCATCATGTCCAACTTAGTAGGCTCATAAAATTAAAATGATTGGAAAATTAAGTTTCAAAGCAACGCTTATTCAGACAGTAACTACAAGTTTTCTGAGCTTACTCTTAAATGCCTTTAATTATGATCTTAAATGTGCAAAATGACTTTAGATCCATCCAGAGCACTACATTGCATATTTTTCATTTTGCCCCAAGGCTTCATAGTTTCCAGAAAATCCACATCGTTAGATAAATCACAGGTGCATCATGCAATAAATTAGACCAGCCATGATTCTCGCCCCAGATATTTCTGTAATACCCTTTAATTTAACGAAAAAACCCAGCAGCAGTTTGCGCAATACAGAAACATTTGTAATCGCAAACTTAATGAATATATGAATATTGGTATTGGCTCCTTTAGTCATCCTGGGATGAGAGAGGTTTTACCAGAAGGTCAACAAGGCCCTGTCCAAATCTAGGACTTCTCATCTCCCTCCATTTCAATATCAGCTTCTGCAATAAAGCAGGATGCAACCATCGTTTCAAGTATAAACTTGCTTTCTGCAGACAAGAGCAAGGGGTCTTGGATGCATGGTGATTAGATTGTTGGGCTGGGACTCATGAGTTGCAGGTTCGAGTCCCCCCTCGGTCATAAAGCGCCCTGGGTGACTTTGGGCCACTCACTCACTCTCAGCTTCGCCTACCTCACAGGGCTGTTTTGTGGGAATACAAGAGGGTTAGGGAGTGAAGAACTTTGTTCCTTGCAAGAGGAAACATGGAAAGGAGGGAATACAAGAGTGTACCAGTTATTAGACATTTTCTCCACAACCCAGTCCCAAAAGGAAGCTACCGAATGGAAGGAGAGAGTTTAGCGGGAGCCATTAATACTTACAACCGAGTATAAAGCTCAGGCAAAGTGAGGATTTCTTTCTTTTGTGTTTTAAGGGAGAAGAAAAAAGGCACAACGTTAACCGGAGACGGGCTTCATGGAACAAGCCTTCAGCTTGTCTGAGCCAGCACACTGGCAAGCAGCTCAGTTCCCATGCTCCAACTAACAATGAAGTTTTTGGAGCTTTCTCAGCAAAAAGGTTTTTAACTGGCAGCTCCCGGGTCTCAAGACTGAAGAACCATCAAAAGGTCTGCAAGTTTAGCAGACAGACTGGTGACCATGCCGTGGCTGCCAGGAGAGCTTCTAAAACACTTGTCGACAGGAGCTGGCCCTTCCTGCTTGAGGTGCTAGGAGCTGAGATTTGAGACAACGCCAACCCTTACAGCAAGTATTTGCTGCAAAGCTATTATGTTTTCTACAAATCTGTTCAGCCGCTTGAGCTTTGGAAGAGTGACTTGTTTCATAGTCAAAACAAGTTTGCTTCAAATCCTCAGAGGCAAACAGCATCTCAGGGATAAGGGCTGGATGCCGGATGGAAAGGGCAGGTTTGTGGCTTGGGGGTTCTCCCTGAACCATCTGTGTTGAGAGACTCAGGGGGCTTTTGCGGCCTAGAGTGTCTTCGGCCAGCTTTGCTTGGCAGTCTGGCAGTAATGCTAATCACTAAGATCAGAAGTTCTGAAATACAGTATCAGGTCTGGTTTACTTGAACTTGGTGGCCAATGTGATTCCAAGCCCTATTGGGGGTGCTGGCTTTAACCTATAAAGCCTATACAGCTTGGGACCCCAAGAATGCTTCTCCCACAAGCTACAGGAAGAAGAATTATGCACTTGAAACATAGCGCTGGAGGAGAACTTTGCAATTACACTGGCCAGCAGAAAGAGGAACAAACAGGTCCTGGATCAAATCAAGTCAGAACTTTCCCTAGAAATGAAAATGACAAAACTGAAGCTGTTGGACTTCGGGCACATCCAGGGAATTTTGGGGGAAGGAGAGGGAAGGCTGGCTTGCCTCTGTCAAAAGGTCTCCTTGGGCAAAGGGTCTGTGTGGAAAGAGCGTCAACTCTGCTCTAAGGTGAAATCCGAAAGATCATGATGGGGCACCTTTTCTGAACTGGGGGAACTGTTAACGGGGAGCAGCTGAAAGAAAGGTCAAGAGCTTCCAAGTCCAGGCCTCAAGATGTTTGGGCAGCTGGATCCCTAATGTTATTTCAACTGTTTTCCCAAAAATGGGAAAGCCCATTTTTGTTTTAAGCATGACTGTGTGCTACAGGTTTAAAATTGCGAGCTTTCCATCAAGCTGGGAGCTGAACTCCAGGGAAGCAGAAAAACCAGTGTTGCTGGCCGTTCCTCCTTGCTAGCTGGTACTGCTGGCTAGAATAGGTTGCAGGGGGATAAGCCAGATTTTTTTTCCGGACTAGTCAAACACACTCGTTTAAATGCACATTTATATCTATTACACTGCAAGTGTGCAATTTGAGAAAAAGATGCCATTACATACTAAGTTCCGTACTTGTTACGGGACGTTTTTACACAACTTTTGGGCGTGATGCTGTAGGGCAGCTAACATTTTATCCTGCTAAACCAAGTGTTTTGCCGATCTGTGAAGTAAACTTCGTGTGTAAGTCAAGTAAAACATCCGAGGAAGGCAGTACCAGAGTTCCTACAACCCTGACGTCAGCCCATTCAGACTGTGCAACACACTTTCTGTTTGGTGCAGGATGGAAAGAATGGAGGTGCCACTTTCTCCTTACGACTTAAAAATTTTTCACCTGCATTCCGCCCAAGGGTAGTGAGTTTATCACACCAGATCTGGGGAAAAGAAAGGTGGAGATGGATAGTTAAGGCAGTAAATTCCAGGTAACTGACAAAACTCATCCAGTACATAATTTGTAAGCTGTTATGTGGGCTTTCTGGATGATTCTGGAAGGAAACATTTCCCAGTGTTATAATTCACTTTGAATCTCATTTTGCATATTTAGGAGTCTTTTAGCAAGCAACCAGAAGTCCTCAAAGAGTTCTGTGAATGCCACATTAATCTCAAAAGGTTTCCAACAGCCAAAAGATGTTGAATTAAAAGACTGTATTAGGGAAGAAAAAATAGATTAAAACATACTTCATGGAACATAAGCATTACGTGAAATCTTAATATCCGTTTGAGATAATGGACTGTGGTGTGACATACAGTTTTCTTTGCCTAGCTTTCATTTTAAGAAAAAACGAAGCTGGAAAAACGGTTGATGTGCTTGTTTTGGCATGCCCAGACAGTGGCACGGGGCTGCAAAGTTTTAAGGGAACAGCTGTGCTGTAATGCTCAGAACGTCAGACTCAGTCTGGAGAACCCCTGCAAGCCAGCCATCTATTCTCAGCCTAACCTATCTCGCAGGGTTGTTGCGAGGATTAAACGGGGTGGCTCGGGGCGGGAAAAGACCACCCTGGGCAGCTTGGTTGCTCAAATCATTATCTGAAAAGCCACTTTTGCAATTGCCCAGCCCTGCCTTTTTGATTCGGCTCTGCTGGAGTTGGAAGTAGTTTGGGGGGTACGGCTGGTGCCAAAAGCTCTCTGCGAGCAAACGTTTTGGTTCTCTGACGAGAGCAATCTCTTCCTTCCAAAGCTTTTCATGGGCTGAGAAAAAAGAGCAGTAGCAACAGGGGAGGGGGATGACCTTCTCACCTTCACTTGCCTCCTTACACACGACCTCCTATCAATTTCCTGGGAAGGAAACCCAGCCATTGACACCCCTGTTCTAGCTACTACTTTGGCAGGGACCAAACACGACCAGGGGCACAGGGTCCTGGCAAATAGGTGCTCCCTGCTCAAACTTTGCCACAGCAGCCAAGTGCTGGATCGCCACCCCTCCAGCACAGCCAGGCCAACACACACAGACAGGCTGATGCTGATACTGCAATGATTGTGTCTCCCAAGCCCCCTTGCCTCTGCAGTGGTCCCGGCTAATGCAGATGAAAGCCCGTGGCAAGTTTTGGCTCCCCTCCATTAAGGCAGTGGGAAAGGACCAGGTTGGAATACGCAGGAACGAACGCCTGGAGCTTCTG